CCTGGCGGGGGGACGGTTGAAACAAATTAATTTTCTTTTTAAATTTGATTTTACACACAAAATACAATACAGTGATCTCAAATAACATTGTCCATTAGAAGACAGATATATGGTCTTTTAATTAATATATTTCAGTCATCGCTCGCTTCACTAATCTAGATACAATGGACGATAAACGCTAAAATGTTTCAACCGTACTCAGTCTACCCTACCCGAGTAAACAAAGATCGTCTTCCACCGTCACCGGTGAATTTGTAATGTGCAATTTTAAATGCTGATGCTTACCACGTGCTCGACGGTAGAATAAAATATTGTGAAAAAAATTGCAAATTAAATAATGCCTTTAAGCATAGCCCTGTCCCAATTAAGTAAAATGTAGGAAACATCACAACCGCTTGTTAAAGTATGCCATGAAATCAATATTATACTTTATAACTTGAATATAGTCCCGATAGAATTTCGTTTCGTGTACTCATTTCAAGAGAAAAAAATATTTTTATCTGTTCTGAACTAATTCTTTTGTGTGTTAAAAAAGTAAACTAGAATATGGGGTGAGTTTCTTGCCCTCTCAGAGCAAAAGTTTTGCCCCAGTTGGCATAGTCAAAAGCATCTGTTCGCCAAATGCGGTCATTAATTGTTTGAAAATACTCAGCGGTGTCTTGGGTAGGATTAATGTAAGTGCTTACTGTCCACATCAAGCAATAAAATTTTAAGTGACAAAAACAACTGGAACAAAAGAAATACATTTTGGCAGCGAAGTTTAATGGTTAACTTAGTTGTTCCAGTGCAATAACCTAAACATTGTAAAGTTGATTTTATATGTACTGTGAAAATACTTATTTATGTCTACATATAAGTCTACTAGCGTATTCCTAGCATATCAAATAATCTCTGTGTAAAGTTCGATTTAACAAAAATTAAAATAAATAAGTTTAAATCCCTTAATTATGCATAATACAGTTTTATCTATTACACGCAATTAGGTACTAAACGCAGAATATCTTTTTCCCCAAAGTATACGATAATTTGTAATGTCGTATTCAAAATCAAAAACATCGCCGTTTGTTAAGAAAAAGCTTAATTTCCTGTGTCGCCTCTTACGACACCCACGAGAATATATGGAGTGGTTTTTCTTTCCGCTACTATACGGCTTATACGGGTTAAAAATCATTACCTTATAACAAAATGTTTGTTCCATCGAAGAATCATATTCCCTTTCTATCACAAAGAATCAAAGAGTCACCGTCTCTAAGCCTAATCTTATAAAACAAACATCATAAATATGAGTATCTTATGTTCAAAGAGAACGGCGATAATACGTTCTTAATTTTTTTTTTACTTTCTTTTGTCTAGAAGTGCAATCAAAAGTATTTAAAATTTATTCATAACTCCCAATATTTAGGAACTCAATATCGCAATCCCAAAATAATAAAATATTTTCGTAAATTTGTGAATTCAAAAGAGACCCCTTTTAGCTATATTTAAATGCGCATTAGATATGTATTGGAAGTTCAAATTCTGTTTTACAATGTTGCATTTGATATCTATACATGTAAACATTGCCAGACTGAAAGGAATCGTCGTTTAATGAATGTCCAAAGCAAGAGCATTCCTTTGTTATGGTGTACACGTACTCGGTGACACGTGACGGTGGACTTCTGTGAGTAACAATTGCATGCATGAGCGAGTGGACGTGGGAGCGGCGAGAGACACTTTATCACGCTATGCCACGACAAATAATTCTCTAAACAATATTGCTGCGGCTTATAAGATTTATTTTTCAATCCCTACAGTCTATCTTTTATATATGTATAAATAAAATTGAGGTGTATGCCTGCAATATTGAAATAACCGGCTTCTATTAAGCCCAGGGGTTATTTGCATACTATTTAAACATTTTGTCTGACCGTCTATCCGGGCTTATTATCGGAATGGCTGAACCGATTGTGATGAAACTGTACTGTATTTTATCCAAAAACATTAAAAAAATGAAACGAAAAATTAATAATATCTAATATAAATATACATTTATTAATTAAATAACGCCACATTAATAAATCGAAGCGTCAGTAGCCTAATGGCAGGGCGCGGACCGCGAACTCAAAAGGTCGTAGGTTCGAATCCGCCATTCGACTACCGTCGTGAGTCACTTCTAACACAAACATTTTAAGCTTACCAGAAGTGGTTAAAGGGAATATTAGTAATGTTTAATAACATTACTAGTATTTAAAAAAAATCCTATCCAGGCAAAGCCGGGGAGGGTAGCTAGTATCAAATACATTCAACCCAAAAATCAGATCTAATGAAATGGTATATACTTTTGTCGTATTAGTATCAGATGAAAATAATGAAATAGGGAGCGTAGAATTAATAAATGAAGTATGCTAAAGGAAAAGGAATACCAAGTAGCAAAATTTAATATTCAATGTTAGGTTTTTTGAGTTTCCTGGTTTTTACAACGCAAAATACTTACAAAGTTTTTTCCTACTATTAGCGTTAAGAAATTAATTAAGTCCTATTAAGTCCTATGGTTACGTAACAGTAATTTAAAAAACCGACTGCATAAAAGTTTACAGAAAAGAGAACAAAATTATATCCTTTGTTACTTCTTCAGCTAAGACAAATCTAACGACAATCCTTAATTTAAAATCAATCAAGTCGCTTAGGTCACAGAGCGTATTGTGTGTATGAATGTACAATACATATGTACATTCATACACACACTCGAAAAATATTACCAAGGAGGGTAGAAAGCATTTCACCAACACGCATTGATACACCGCAGCGTACTATTCTCTGATTCAATCTAAACCCCTCTCATATATGGATAGTGACATATGCTCAATAGTGGGACATAAATTGGCTGCTACTTCACTTTTTACATATATTAGGGTACATTATTTGCACTATAATTTTCAAAGTTGTTACTAACATATTAAGTACTATGTATCATTGCTTCTTTACTAACGACGTAGATATTTCTAATTTGGCGTAACTAAAACACACGGTTACATGCCTTTTAAGCTTAACAACACCCAATAACATCCGGACAGCCGGTTAAAATGACACATTCAGATGATTCACGTCTTACTAAGAACACGAACAGCGGCGGCGACTTAGCGAACATAATTGAAAAGGTTACAGTAAATTGTTCCGGTAACCTTAAGACATCGGCTACGGTTAGTTTAGGGCAGCAATATTCGCTTAAATAACTGTGTCCACCACCAAACGGCTTCACGTATTGTCGTAAACTCACATTACCGGCCTGAGGTGATGTTCCGGACCGAGATAGGCTTAGCGAGTACACTCTGGTGGACTGCAGCGGGACTAGTATTCTTTCCCCCTACCCACCCCAGTCGAGGTGGAATCGCGGAGGAAGAGGAAAGACCACTTGCCTTTTCATGCGCGATCATGGTGAAGCCACTAGGCTAATGCGACTGTGGTAGGACCGTGGGAAGAGACAAGTATCTCTGATTTTTTAAAAAACGTTACCCCTACACTAGGATTTTCTCCTATATCGTGGAGGCATTTTAGAAACATAAATTGCACGAGGATAAACACCCAGACCTGTAACAATTATTTGTAGGCCATACAAATACTTGTTCCGTGCGGGATTCGAACCCGCGGCCCCCAGCGCAACAACTCATTGCTAAGCCACTGCGCCACGGAGCCGTCCAAAGATGATACTAAAGTATCCATAGATGATACTCATTATTGCGACTCCCTGCTCGCAAAAAGAAATAAAGTTGTTTTTTTAAATATTTACGCCAATTCTGTACCTACAGTAAATAAAATTAATTTTATGAAGTTCATCGTGCTTTTAACCTATTTGTGATCTCGATGTTTATATTTTTTACGTGGTAGAGCCATGCTACAGCTGTATTATAGTTGTAGCATGAATGGGTCGGCTCGACCGGGGAAGGACCACGCTCTCACAGAAAACCAGCGTAAAATAGCAACTTAATGCTACTGTGTTTCATATGGTGAGTGTAGAGAACCGGAGGTCCTTTTTAGTGTAACCGAGGCATTTCATCTTAGTCCTCAGGGGTAAGAAAGAATCTGCATTTTGATTCTTAATCGAGGATAAATGTAAATGTCATTGGGAACACCACTTACCATCAGGTCGACTGTGTGCTCGTTTGTCACCCTTATTCTATTAAAGAAGTATATCTATACAGTCTACACTACTCCTAATCGCGGGTGTCGTAAAATGCGACAGAGTAAAATAAAATAAAAGCTGGGCAGTTGCGTTTTCCTGATAACAACTTCAAAAAAATTCAGCTGGCAACTCGCTTGTCAAGCGAGGCAACTGCGGCAAATTGACATTTATACATTGCCTCATAAGGGTGACCCCTTATGAGGCAATGTATAGGGCAGGCCTTTGTTCAGTAGTGGACTTTTAGTAGGCTGTAATGGTATTGGTAATGATATTGTAAATCTTTATAAAATTCTGGTATCCGTATGTTCGTATTTCTTCTCCCCTAAACGGCTTGACCGATTTATAATGGGGTACTTATGGGGTCACCTACATGGTTCTCAGTTGCTGTACTTGGACCCAGTAGGTGGCACTGTTATCGAGACCCAGAAATCACCCGTGCGAAGCCGGAGCGAATCGCTAGAGTAAATACAAATTATATCCGACATACTATCCGAAGATCCGTTGCCCAACTAATAATAGTTATACAACTTTGTATACGCTAAATAACGTTTACGTTTTATAATATTTTTTTTGTGTGTATATTAATTTACCCACTCGAAAAATATTGGTTTAAACACTACATTGCAAAGAAGAGGTTTATTGTCATTTCTTTTGCATTTCAAGAGGCTCTTAAGCGTTTAAGCCAATCAACTGTCAAGAAAAAGAGAAAGGATTTTCTCTCTTTTTCATTGTATTGTATGTTTACTTGAGATAAATTGAAAAAAAAAACTTAAGAAAAGTAAAATACCAAAACGTTAGAAATTGTAACAAATTGTAATAATATATTCTTCTTTTGTTTCAGGTATAAATTGAAAATGGACGATGTTATGAATATAACAGACGACATAACTTCTAGTGCAAGACCTAGCGAACTCTCGAAGTAAGTACTCTATGCGACCATTATCTAAAACTATTGATATTGCCTGAATGACCTCACTGGTATTTTATTTACAAAAAGATATTGTGACCACAACACAGTATACTGAAAGGATATGATATAATCACCACACTTGGCTGGCGGATTCGTGATTTTTTTTATTATAGTGGTGTCAAACGAGCATGCGGCTCACCTGATGGTAATTGACTACCGCCACTCATGAACAACTGCTACACAAGGGGAACATCAACATTGATATAACCACGCTGTCAAACCTTAGACGCTGCCCTTCTTCGAGACCAGTCCACATATTTTAGCTCTCCGGCGTTTAACAAGGTCCAGTAACTAAGCGTGATGCTACGACAACACAGTAACATTCTCGCACGGAACAATTACTAGAGTTCAAAAGATATACATTGAAATAGAGGACAGTATATTATCCATTTCAACTTTATAACGGTTTAAGTAGTTGGAAGGTCCTTTATTATAGAAGTAAGAATGACAATCGATGTCCCCCTGAAAAGTGGATGCTTCGGTCCATAGACACCAACATTTATCCTATTTTAAGCATTCAAATTCAGATTTTTTTATAGGATGAGGGTGACAAACAAGCACACAGTCCACCTGATGGTAAGTGGTTGCTGTGACCCATAGATATCTATATCTATCTTCGGTTACGAATCAAAATGCAGATGCGTTGTCACCCGTGAGGACTAAGATGGAATGCCTCGTTTCCAGTAAAAAGGGTGTCCAGTTCTCTACACTCACCATACGAATCACAGCAGCGTTAAGCTGCTATTTTACGCTGGTATTCTGTGAGAGGGTGGTCTTTCCCCGGTCGAGCCGACCCATTCGTGCTACAACCATAACATAGCTGCAGCATGGCTCTACCACGTAAAAAATGTGGGGCTAAGATGAAATAACTCGTAACAAGTAAAAATTGTCTCCGGTTCTTTTCATTCACCATACGAAATGCACCACCATTATGCTGGTATATGAGCACAGATTAAATCTATGTATATGATTTGTGTTCAGCAGTAATTAGCTTAGTATGAGTTAAATAATTTAGTTGATTTAAAATACAACTAAAATCACTTACTAGTATGAAAAGGTAGTATCAATGGGCGTTCCTCAGGGCTCGATTCTTGGCCCATTCCTCTTCTTAATCTATATTAATGACTCACCTTATCTTGTAGGGGACAATCACGATATAGTATTATTTGCTGACGACACCTCTTTAACGAAACTGAAACGGCAATCAATTAAATATGACGATGTAAATAATGCTCTATCGAAACTAGTACATTGGTTTAACGCCAACAATTTGCTCTTAAACGGCAATAAGACAAAATGTATTAAATTTACAATACCTAATGTAAAACATTCGAAAACCAATGTGCTCTTAAATGGGGAGGAGTTGAGTCTTGTGGATACCACTGTTTTTCTCGGTATTACTATTGACGCGAAACTTCAATGGGGCCCCCATATATCTAAATTAGTAAGCAGACATAGTTCTGCAGCATATGCTGTAAGAAAGATTAGAAGTCTCACAGATGTTGAGACAGTTAGGTTAGTGTATTTTAGTTACTTTCATAGCGTAATATCTTATGGAATTTTGCTATGGGGTAATGCGACTGATATTGAAGCTATATTTATTTTGCAAAAGAGAACCGTACGGGCGATTTATAATCTAAATTGTAAAGAGTCCCTCAGACTAAAATTTAAAGAAATAAACATATTAACTTTGGCATCGCAATATATTTATGAAAATGGAATGTATGTAGATAAAAACATAAATAGCTTTAATCAGAATAAGGATATTCATACCTTAAACACTAGGAACAAACATAAGCTTGTAACGCCACTTACTAGACTCCACAGAATTAGTAATTCATTTATGTGGCAATGTATACGCTTTTACAACAAAATCCCACAACATGTTCAAAGTTTGTCAATAAACAAGTTTAAAAGTTTTATTAAAGAAAAACTGTACAAAAATGGTTATTATAATATCAATGAAAATAACCCCTGGGAATAAGGTGATCGCCACCATGCTGGTTCTATGAAAATTCATTTAAAATTGTATAAAGAAAATTATTGTTAAGTGAAATTATGTTTAAAAAAAAGTCCCGCTGGGTTTCAAGCTGGTTTTTCCCAGGACAGAGGTATTTTCCGAACCAGTGGTAAATAAAATAATGACTTTCAATAAGTATTATGTAATAGTCCATATTGAATAAAAATCATTCTATTCTATTATATTCTAAACAAAGTCGCTTGTAGTAAGCTGTCTGTGTATTTGCTCAAGCGTTGTTTTTTCAATAGTCTGATCAAATTATCTATGAAATAAATTATTGTAGCTTGACTGGATAGAAATTGAAACAAAAAAAAAACTATTATTTTTAAATTTTTAATGTTGTATCTTATTTTATGAATAACTTTTATCATAGATTTTTTTTTAAAAAACTTCCCTGTAACTTAGTAGAAAGTGAATTTTGATGCGGTTTCACTAATATTAAAAAAAATAATAGCTACATGTATTTTTTATGTAAATGGATTTTATAAAACTGAAGTGACAAACAAACTTAAAGTCCACCAGATGGCAAGCGGCTACTGCAGTCCATTGACATCTGTAGCCAACTTTATACAAAAATGGCTACAGATACATTGTCACCCTTGAGGAGTAAGATGAAATATCTCACAGGCAATAATTGTACTGGCTCTCTATAACCTCCACACCGGAACACAGTAATGCAAGCACTACTATTTGGCAGCATATGTTGTCCATAGACTTAGAACAAATGTCTTTATTGTAGTCGAGTTGAAAAAAATTGGTAAATCGCACACATGCAAAACCATTAAGTCTGCATTTGTAGTTTATAATTCATTTCTCTTTTAATTGTTTTAGGCATTTATTTATATGTATTATGTAAAACAGAATGTTGTTGAGCTTCATTTGTTTTACAACAATACTATTGCGGAAATACATTCAAGTTGAATGAATGAACGCAATAAGAGTCGTGAAACAAAAGACATCCTGTGTACCCAGGTGGCATCAAAATGTAGAGCCCAAAGACGCAATTATATTTTAGGTTTACTAACTTACTAATTAGTAACGGATCTTAGATTTTATGATAACGATCAGTTATCAGCGATTAAGGCGACTTTATAGTACTTTTAACTTTTTTGAACCTTTGTTATTTAAATGTAATTATTGCGCAAAAAAAAGCATTTTTTAAAGAATTATAAATTGTTTTTATAATTCTCTCATCTGTATAATATATATTATAAAGATAAGAGTTGTGTAAGGACAAAAAGAAACGTGAATCATAATAATTGTCTCGATAAAAAAAATCATAACTGTTATATAAACGGGTTCTTGCAGAAACTCCTTAATGAAACCGTGTAAAAGTTAAATCAAATAAAAAGGCCTTTTATTTTTAGAAATGTTTTCTTATAGGATAAGGGTGCCAAACGAACACACACTCCACCTGATTGTAAATGTATGCTGTGGCCCATAGACATCTACATCTATCCTCAATTACGAATCACAATGCAGATGCGTTGTCACCCGTGAGGAATTAGATGGAATGCCTCATTTCCGGTAAAAAGGTTCACCGGTTCTCTACACTCATTATACGAAACACAACAACATTAAGAGGCTATTTTACGCTGATACTCGTATTCTGTGATAGCGTAGTCCTAACCCGGTCGAGCCGTCTATCTATCGTCGATACTACTAATATAGCCATTTTTACGTGGTAGAGCCATGCTGCAGCTATACTACTGGTATAGTTAAAGCACGAATGAGTCGCCTCGACCGGAGAAGGACCACGCTCTCACAGTATACCAGCGTAAAATAACAGCTTAACACTGCTGTGTTTCGTATGGTGAGTGTAGAGAACCGGAGACCCTTTTTACTGCAAAAGAGGCATTCCATCTTAGTCCTCACGGGTGACAACACATCTGCATTTTGATTCGCAAACAAGGATAGATGTAGATGTCTATGGGCCACAGCAACCACTTACCATCAGGTGGACTGTGTGGTCGTTTGTCACCCTATCCTATAAAAAAAAAGCTGTGGCTCTACCACGTAAAAATGTTATAAACACATTTTACAAACTCGTTTTTTATTTCTGAATGAATGAATTAATTTATTTCGAACCAGGTCTCTATATCTGTGTGAGTAACAATATTAACTAATCTAATACCTATCCCGTGTTTTTAAAAACTAAAAACTACTTCTAAAAAATTTAATAAAAACTAACAAAGTTAAAAGAGAGAGAAAATTATTATAGACAGTAAACCGATGCCTTGGCGTCTTGAACTACGTCACAGTGCTTTTAGACTATTCAGAAGTATCCAGTTCCAGCGCCATAGCATCAACGAATCCCACCTGTTGGCAAATACCCTCAGGATGTTATTTGTGCCGGAGCGATAGCCATTTAATTGAAAAGCGCTCCGCTTTCTGATGATCGTATAAAAATGGTCGGTATGCGCCTCCGCAAACATTGTGGACGCACTGCAAAATGTAATAGCCCTAGCAGCAACATGAATGCATTATTACCTAGTCAGGTCATAAGTATTGTCACACAGTAAAAACTTTTCTTTTAGAAAGCTGGCCACAAAAAAGTTTATTGAATTCTAATTTCGAATTGTTCATGAAAATAAACCTGTATACTTTTTAGAATTTTACTCATTTTTAAATATGGAGTGGACGCTTAAAGAAGACCGTGTTGCAGTTATTGCGTTGCATCGTTGCGGTTACGCGCCAGTTCAAATTTTTGACATACTGAAAAATTTGATTATAACCAAAAGATTCGTTTATCGTACCATCAAACGATACAATGAAGACTCTAGTGTAGATGACAGGTCAAGAAGTGGTCGCCCTCGGTCTGTTAGGACTCCAGCAGTGATAGAAGCTGTGAAGGCGCGAATTCAAAGAAATCCCAAACGTAAGCAGAAACTGTTGGCCCTTCAGATGGGGTTAAGCAGAACCACGGTGAAAAGGGTGTTAAATGAAGACTTAGGGCTTCGGGCATATCTAAGAAAAACAGGACATCGTTTGAATGCTCGTCTAATGGACCTGAGACTGAAGAGATGCCGCGCTTTGTTGAAGCGGTTGGGAGTTTCTTATTGGGGCTTAACAGAGGTACATTTTTGTGATAAAGGTGTAAAAACGAATGCAGTTGTGTATCAAAATACAGTCCCGACGAACCTTGTGGAACCTGTTTCTCATACCATGTTCAATAACAGGCACTGGGTATTCCAACAAGATTCGGCGCCAGCTCATAGAGCGAAGAGCACACAAGACTGGCTGGCGGCGCGTGAAATCGACTTCATCCGGCACGAAAACTGGCCCTCCTCCAGTCCAGATTTGAATCCATTAGATTACAAGATATGGCAACACTTGGAGGAAAAGGCGTGCTCAAAGCCTCATCCCAATTTGGAGTCACTCAAGACATCCTTGATTAAGGCAGCCGCCGATATTGACATGGACCTCGTTCGTGCTGCGATAGACGACTGGCCGCGCATATTGAAGGCCTGTATTCAAAATCACGGAGGTCATTTTGAATAAACTTTAGTGTCATAAGAATCTATGTTTTGTTAAGTTCATTTTGGTATATAAATGGTTACATAATGAATAAACTTCTTTCAATTATTTTATATTGAACATGTGACAGAATTTATGACCTGATTAGGTATAATGAACCCTTAGGGCGTCGAATGCTCTCTGCGTAAAGTTCACCAGTGCGTAAGTTTGTACTTGAAAAGCGTCACTTTTACTGCAACACTACAACGTGCAAACCTTCGAGCTAACATGTTGCTAGCGAACAAATAGCGCCCTACGACAGAAAGGGCCGTTCAGTAGATAATACATAAACGAGTTATTGGAACAAAGTTACTTACTGTTAGTTAGTTACTTACTGGACGGTGCGAATTTGACGGCTGGGGCTAGGCGAAAAAAGTGTAAGATTTTTCACGACCCCTTTTGACGTAGTGTAGACGGCCTTGGCGGCGGTAAGGAAATGAGATGGAATATAAAATATGGAATATAAAAATATACTAAGAATAAAATTTTGTTCCAACCGACTGTTCCACGGCACTCACTCATGTTTTTTTTTTTTTCATTTTAAGTCGTCTCGAATTGTCAGCCTCGTATACATATATCCTTAGATTATATAAAAATATCTAATAAATACTGTCTTACTCAAACTTCGGTTATAATCCCGGAATATAAAATTTTTATATTCCGTGGTTATAAAAATGGTAATGGAGAACGAAACATTTCTTAAATAACTATAGGAATTGGGAAAAAGTGCACAGTACCTTTAACGGTTTGATAAAAAAGATGTAATTAATATGATATTGTTTGTTTTTTTTTCAGATTTTCTCCGGCATTATTAACATTCGCCGCGGTTGTGACGGGTTTTATCATGGTAATAGGATTATTCGGCAACCTACTCACTGTAGTCGCCCTTATTAAGTGCCCGAAAGTCAGAAATGTGGCAGCAGCCTTCATTATAAGGTATGTAAATTATATGGGAGTTTGGCCAAGATATTGCTTTGGGTTTCTCTAAAGAAGAAAAAAAATAGTTTCAAAATACCGTGACAATTGCGCAATACTTACTTTATTGGAAAAATAAAACTTTGCCAAAACCACGTATTTGCCGTGTAGTGGCGGTCAAGAATACCACTACCCCATATCCTCCCGTGGGTTTCGTAAAAGGCGACAAAGGGAAACAGGCAGGAGATGGGCAGCAGCTTCTTCCTGATAATAGCCAGACAATAAAAAAACTGCGGTTGCCAACCCGCTCGCCAAGCGTGGCAACTATGGCAAATAACCCCCTATGAATGTAACAAAGAGACGGCCCCCAGTCCCCGGCGGCCCCGCTATTCCTGGCTACGGTGGCGACCATGGTAACGGCGGGGCAGGGGGTGCTAAGAATCTCCGGTGGAGGTTCGGTTGCCACCTTAGACGACTCGACCTGGCAACGTACAACGCACGCACCCTGAGGACTGACGAGAAGATCGTGGAGCTGGAAGAAGAGATAGACAAGTTGCGCTGGCATATTATAGGATTATCCGAAGTCCGAAGAGAGGGGGAGGACACGGTAATCCTCGAATCCGGCAACTTGCTCTATCACCGGGAGGGCGACCATCTGTCCCAAGGAGGTGTCGGATTTATCGTCCACAAGTCTCTCGTTAACAACGTTGTAAAGATCGGGAGTGTGTCGACGAGGGTTGCGTACCTTATACTCAGAATCACCAAATGGTATTCGCTGAAGGTCATACAGGTTTACGCACCAACCTCGGCACACCCCGATGAGGAGGTGGAGGAAATGTATGAGGATATCTCTAGAGCCATGCATTCCTCCAAAACCCAATATACGGTGTTAATGGGAGACTTCAATGCAAAACTAGGCACAAGAGAGAACGGTGAGCTGAAAGTAGGGAAATTTGGAATAGGGCAACGGAACCCAAGGGGCCAACAGCTGGCCGACTTCATGGAGAAAGAGGGACTCTTTATGATGAACTCTTTCTTCCAGAAGCGGCCCCACAGGAAGTGGACCTGGTCGAGCCCCGACGGTTCCACAAAAAATGAGATTGACTTCATTATGACGACCAGACGACAACTGTTCAGTGATGTCTCCGTGATCGCGAGGGTGAAAACTGGTAGCGATCACCGAATGGTTAGAGGCACACTGAACCTAAACGTTAAGTTGGAGAGGTCTCGTCTAATGAAGTCAACGCTCCGTCCCCCTCGTGCTCTATTCCAAAGTCCCGAGACCTTTCAGCTCGAGTTACAAAACCGTTTTCAGTGCCTAGAAGACTGCAATGAAGTGGACGATATGAATGACAAGCTCGTGGAAACTGTCCATGCGGTCGGAGCTAAGTTCTGCAAGACCCGCCGCAGAAGAACACAAAAACTCTCCGATCACACTCTTAATCTCATGGCTGTTAGACGGGAGATGAAGCTACATTCTTCAACAGACTTGACAGCATACAGGCAACTGAACAGACAGATCTCCAAATGCATGCGGCGGGACTTACGCAACTTCAATACAGCTCGTATTGAAGAAGCGATCGAGCGGAACCAAGGCTCCAAAGTCTTTGCCAGAGATCTGTCTGCCAGAAAGAGCCACCTGTCAAAGCTGAAGACAGAATGTGGAAGCATCGTTTCTGGGACACCTGAGATTTTGAGTGAGATTGAGAGGTTCTATGGGCAGCTGTACACGTCGTCGTTGGAGCCACACGCAAGTGTGAGTAACGATCCAAGAGCGAGTCTCATCCGACACTATTCCGAAGATATCCCGGACGTCAGTCTGAGCGAGATTAGAATGGCTCTCCAGCACCTTAAAAACGGTAAGGCCCCAGGCGAGGATGGAATTACAGTGGAGCTTCTGAAAGCGGGTGGAAGACCGGTACTTGAAGTCCTTCAGAAGCTCTTTAATTCCGTCCTCCATGGTGGCATTACACCGGAGGCGTGGAGCAGAAGTGCGGTGGTCTTGTTCTTCAAGAAAGGTGACAACGCTCTCTTGAAGAACTACAGACCGATTTCCCTTCTGAGCCGCGTCTACGTGCTGTTTTCGAGAGTCATTACAAATCGTCTCGCGCGCAGACTTGACGACTTCCAGCCGCCCGGACAAGCCGGTTTCCGAAAGGGCTTTAGCACCATAGACCACATACATACCCTTCGGCAAATTGTACAGAAGTCCGAAGAGTACAATTTGCCACTATGTCTGGCGTATGTGGACTATGAGAAAGCCTTTGATTCCGTCGAAATTTGGGCGGTGCTGCAGTCCCTTCAGCGGTGCCAAGTTGACTGTCGGTATATCGAAGTGTTGAAGTGCTTGTACAGTAGGGCTACGATGGCTATCCGAGTACAGAACCAGAGTACGAAACCTATCCAATTGCAGAGAGGTGTAAGACAGGGTGACGTCATATCCCCGAAACTCTTCACCGCTGCATTGGAAGACGTTTTCAAGCTTCTGGACTGGAAAGGATACGGTATCAACATCAATGGCGAGTACATCACTCACCTTCGATTTGCCGACGATATAGTCCTTATGGCAGAATCGCAGGAGGACCTAAGCACTATGCTCAATGACCTCGATAGTGTTTCCCAACGGATAGGTCTTAAGATGAACATGGACAAAACAAAGATCATGTTTAATGTCCATGTCACACCTATGCCGGTAGTTGTTGGGAGCACTAAGCTCGAAGTTGTTAACGAGTATGTTTATCTGGGACAACTAGTCCGACTAGGTAATTCCAACTTCGACCGAGAGGTCAATCGACAGATTCAACTCGGCTGGGCAGCGTTCGGGAAGCTACGACACATCTTCTCGTCAGACATACCTCAAAACCTGAAAACGAAATCGTACAACCAGTGCGTGTTGCCAGTGATGACTTATGGAACTGAGACGTGGTCCTTCACTGCTGGCCGTATGAGGAAGCTGAAGGTCGCTCAGCGAGCTATGGAGAGGGCTATGCTCGGAGTTTCTCTGCGTGATAAACTTAGGAATGAGGATATCCGCAGTAGAACCAGAGTAACCGACATAGCCCAACGGATTAGTAAGCTGAAGTGGCAGTGGGCCGGCCATATAGCTCGAAGAACCGACAACCGATGGGGAAGAAAGGTTCTCGAGTGGCAGCCTCGTACCGGTAGGCGAAGTGTAGGGCGTCCCCCCACGAGATGGAGTGACGACCTGGTAAGACATGCAGGAAGTCGATGGATGCAGGTGGCTCAGGACCGTGCTTTGTGGCATTCTTTGGGGGAGGCCTATGTTCAGCAGTGGACTTGTGAAGGGCTGTATTGATGATAATGATGATGATGAAAACCACGTATTAGAAAAACGTTACGTTTACGTTTTTCTGTATATGTACTGCGAGTGGTATTCTGTAGAATAGGTGTATCTATTCCTGTTCTGAGACATGCGTGCAAAAATGAAATTGAATATTCAAGATAATTCATAGAATCAATCAATAAACAAAACTCCAAGATGTTAAATATCTTGGAGTTTTTTTCTTATTTCTTGCCTGGACGTCCGTGCAAAACCTTTTAAGATAATTAATAGAATCAGGTTACTGTGCGGAAATCCATTATATTAATGAGTTTTAATATAATGTACAATATTTATTGCTCTTCATTCAATACCCATCATTTTATTTTGGCCACGAAACTTAAAGAATTAATTTTCTCAACATTAACATAATGGAATATGGTTAATTACAATATTCTTATACCTAACATACCTACTATTAAGTAAGAATTAGTATTTTCACTATCACAGTCCCTAATATCTGTTTATGAGATTCGTAGAATATTTTTAGACATTTTTTATTAATAAAGTAACATTTGATATAATACATGAAATATCGATAAATGAGAAAATGGACCTAATAATTTTCCAACCACGAACTCCAATTAGTATAACATGGAGTTCTATTGAATAGATGTTACTGAGGAACGTAGCTAGCTCAGAACAAGGAAATTTATGTTCCAATTCCATAGTAATTTGCGCTCAATCGGTCTATTACCGCACAGGGTATTGTCTCTTAGAACTAAAATAACCCACTCATTTGTAGTCCGTGGCGTCTGAATTTCGTGAAACTCTCTCGTAGACTTTCGTTGAAATTCCAATAAGAAATTTTATCTCCAATCTTCATCTATAGTTTTGATTAAAATAAAAAAATATTAGGTAACAGAAAATAACAATATGAAAAATTTGTTATTTGCAATATTTAAATTATAAATTATAATTTCGTAAATAATTGTTTTTTTTTATTTAGGAAACTTATATTTTTATAGAATAAGTATGGCAAATGATTTACGTAATCGTTCACCACCTGATAGTACATGAGTAATATAGTCCATGAGAAATATGGTCCACGAGGAATATAGTCCATAGACATCTATATCATCGATTAAAAGTCAAAATGTGGATACGTATTCACCCCTGAGGACTAAGGCGGATTGCTTCGTTACCCGTGAAACAGGTCTCTTCCATACCATACGAAACACAGAAGCATTATTCAGCTGTTTCACGCTGGTGTTTGAAGATTTGAATTATGTGCATTTTTATTATAAACATGTTTACAATTTCAACCAGATGGGAAAATCAATAATTCGCGTTTCTCCAGTAACGTTATTGAAACTCAGTATCTAAACGATTCAAATCCAAGTACTCTGAACTTTAAGTTATTCTATTATAGAAAACTTAATGTTCCTAAGAATAAAAATGTTATTAGTATAATTCTGTCACAATAAAGAGAATTCTTCAAACAATTGTTTTAAAAAAACTTAAACACTGTGTTCTGTCTTATTACCAAAAAGTGTTTATAACTATTAGTCTCGGGCTTAGACTAGAAACTGTTTCCCCGCGGAAAATATACGAACTTGACAGCAAATGTCAATTTTCGCGAAGTCTTTAGCGCCGGTGGCTAAGTGCTGCTTTCATGAGAAATACTATTTTTAAACCATAGCTTGAAACCGAGATTATAACTTACTAAAGACTTAATAAAGTTAAAATTAAAGTAAAGCCTATCTACGTCCCACTGCTGGGCACAGGCCGCCTCTTATTTGTGCGAGGGTTTTAGGTCAAGGAAATGTCCGTCGCGCTGCTTCAATGCATGTTGGCAAACTTCACATGTCTTTGATTTTTTTTCTTATTTTTCAAACATGTAAGTTTCCGTACGATATTTTCACCTCACGTGTTAAGTCAGTACTAAAAATTGCAATTAACAATCTCATTAGTGCCGGCGGGGATCGAGACCGGGTTTCTCGAGTAACATGAAATTTACAGCGAGCGCTTAGTCCCTGAGCTACCACGGCTCATCCTCGACTTATTGATGAGCCGTTGTTGACTATCAAAAACCGCGAACAAAACGTGACGTAACGTAAGGCCGATTAATACAATAAAATAATACAAAAATAATTGACTTATTCCCTTTCAGTCTATGCATAGCAGACTTTTTATTCTGCGCTATGGTGCTGCCGTTTGCCATATCGGGATTCTGGACAAGGACTTGGTCTCACGGCGGGGCTCTTTGCAAGCTTGTACCGTTCTTGCGGTACGGCAATGTTGGAGTGTCATTGCTGAGCATCGCTCTCATAACCTTGAATAGGTAAGTCTCAAAGGAAGTACGTACTGTTACCGATATTTAAGACCATAATATAGACGATACGATTGTGAATGCATGACATCATCCCAATCAAATAGATCGACCGTTTTAATTTGCATGAAATTAAATAAGACCTATGCAAAATTACTAGTGGAAAATTACGTTTACTAAAACTACCGTTCATAATATTGTCCATAATACAAATAAGTTTTCCTTTGAAATACTTTCTTGCTTATAAAATAGTAACAAATGTTAATTTTAACTGACTTCAAAAAAAGAGGAGGTTCTTAATTTGACTGTATTTTTTATGTGTGTTACCTCAGAACTTTTTTCTAGGTGAACCAATTTTTATGAAACCTATTGATTCTTATGTGGTCCCATATAAATTTGATCAAGATCTGACAAGCAGTTTTGGAGTTACCCTTAATAATGCGTATTTAATTCACTTGGACTACATTCATGATGTTGTTATTTTATTTATATTGAAGTCGGTTGTACAAAATGTTTAATTTTACCACTTGTTTTATCTCCCGCTTTGTTATAATATTCACCTGATATCTTTCAATTTTTTTTTTCTATTTTACATAATAAACTATTTCATCAACTGAGAACCTTGAACATATTGAGATTTGCTTGAAGTTTATTCCCTGTATAAATCTCCGAAATTGTCTCAGCCAATTTATTCAGCAACGCAGGTGAAAACGATATTTGTTGTATAAAATTCTATATTCTCGGTTTGCTGATCGGAGACTTAACTTTTCTTCTATAAAATAAAACCTATCGTTGGAAATAGCCAAATTCATTTATTTCAATATTAATATCAATACAGTATTCTAACCAACTTATAAATGTACTGAATTGAGGAATCCTAGTTAGAGTTTATTAAAACAAGTGAATTTGAAGCTAATGATTACAATTAAGGATCATAACTCAGTCGAAGAGCAAACATCTACGCGCGTACACGACTTCAATGGCATCTACTTTTTGGGCAAGGATAAAAAAAAATTGGGCTGGGTCTAGCGTTAACGTCTGGCACAATTAAAAGAAATTTTGACAGACAAGATGCTGGGTGATTTTTTTTTGTTATTATTTTATTGCGACCCGCTTAAGTATCATAAATTAGATTACACTTTTCTTACTCCTTTCGTAATTAAAATGCAAAGGCAGTTAGCAAGCAGAAAATTTCATGACTTGCTAATCGCAATTATGAGTCTTATTACAGTTTCATTTTTCTTTCTTGAATCCTAAGTAAGTTCCTAAATATATTATAGTGTAATAAGCCTTTTAGTTCATATTGCTGTGATTTAATTTTTTATTTTTCATTTACATTCACATTTGATACAATTTTAACCATATGTATGTGTATTTCATCAAATGTAGAATTATATTTTGTATATATATTTTGCTTCAATAAATAGTTCTCAGACAATTTTCATTAAAAAAAAATTGTGAAAAATATCTGTCACTGACAGTATTAAACGTTTTATGAAATACTGAGAATATGGTAAATAAATGTGACGACGGTAAAGTACTTTTGCAATATTGGATTTGACATTCCATTTCGCATGCTCGTCTTTAAAAAGCGCAATTTTGTGATGACGTGTTTTCACTCTACTCGATTCCAACTTAGTGTAAAGATTTTAACAACTCCTAAGAATGTATATAATATGTATATCCAAATATTTTAAGACATTGCCAATTTGCTCCTTTGTAGAGTTCTTAAAGTTCTTTATTACAATTATTTATTTATTTATTTGGTTCACAAATAAATGTTAAACTAATATTAATTAAGTTAATATAATACATATGCTTAATTCTAAGAAAATAATATAAACTATAAGTGCACATTCAATAATAGGTAAACACCGCATGCTTAGTGCTCACAGCATTCCTACAACCCGTTAGCAAATAGCTAAAATATACAATACAAAATTTAAAAAAATTATCCAAAAAAAGTCACAACAAAGAAATATTAATATTTTGATAAATTTTATGCCAAAAACGTTAAAAGAGTCGTGAAGAATATCTACTACATTATTATAAGTATAAAAGTCTGCAAAGTCTGGGTATTGGGGAATTAAATCCTAGTACAGTCCTACGAAGGGGTGGCGAAAGGGGAGTAATGAATTTACGAAGATATCTACTTGGGATACGCATATTAAATTTACGTAGTAATAAAGGGCAATCTAAGTTATTTCTGAATATTTTATATAAAAGTTGCAAATCCAGAATGTCCCGGTGTTTTGACAGTGAAACCATTTTAAATGTCTTTAATCTGTCTACATATGATGCATTTTTATATGCTTTTCATGTTGAAAAGGCAACATCCCACAAAAATCTTTTTGTGTGCGCTCAAGGCAATGATTATGGGTAGAATAATGGGGATACCAGACTGTGCTACAATATTCTTATATACTTCTAACAATTGAGAATTATAAAAGTTTTTTTGTGGTAAAATTACGGAATACTTTACTATTTCTTATAACAAAACCTAATGATTGAGATGATCTTTTAATAACACTTTCTAGTTGTGGTATAAATGTAGGCTTTTTATCGAATACTATATCTAGGTCCCCAACAGTCTCCACTTCCTGGATAACTAGACCATTGAGGGTATAAACTGATGGGAAAATATTATTTTTACGCGTGAATTTAATATGTACACATTTTTTTAGATTAAGATTCATTCCATTACCATCGCACTATTTAGAAAGTCTAATTAAATCCTCCTGAAGAAGTATCATGTCTGAATATTTATTAACGATTTTACAGAATTTTAAGTCATCAGCATACATAAAGCAATTGGAATGTAAGAAACAATTAGGAATATCGTTAATAAACAAGTTAAATAAAACTGGCCCCAAATATGATCCCTGGGGAACTCCGAATGTGATGGGAAATAATATATCATAACTGAACCCATTAACAACAATAAAATAATTTCGTCTTTCTATATAATACCTTAACCACACGAGAATAAGACCAAAAGCTTTACTGAAATCAGTATAAATTCAGACTTTCACAGCTTTCAAAACGTAAACTAAATTAGAGCAAGTCGCACGGAATTTGAAAAATCCATGTTGAGCATCTGTAATAAACTCTCTTGCATAATTTTGAATATAGGGACATACTAATGATTTAATTATTTTGGGGTTTTATTACATGGTTATTTCAAATTGTTTAGTGCTCAATGTACTTGAAAATTGAAATGAATTTTATTTCTTACTCTCCCTTTGGCGCATCTTTAACTACTGAATGTTATGCATCAGCTCTACACAAATCAATTCTTTTAGTTACTATTTTATTTTTATTTTATTCGGAACACAACAGCTTATATACATATCACTTATTACAAAAATTTAAATTTACTTAACTAATAATCTACTACTTGGTACTACGCATATCTAACTTTTTTCAATTTATGAGAACAATTATTTAAATAATTTACTTTCGTGTACTACTGCAAACTTGTTTCCTTTGTAATAAAATTTATTTTTAATAACTTTCAATTTCTTACTTCCAGATATATTATGATTGCTCACCACAGCTGGTATGCCCGCGTCTATCGAAAACATAACATAGCCTTAATGATCGTATTCTCGTGGATGTTCTCGTACGGCATGCAGATACCGACTCTTGTTGGAGTATGGGGTAAGAAGTATAACAATATTTTTATATTTTTACCAGCTGATACCCGGTCGCTTCGCTGGGCGCACGATAATATTTTATTGCGGAATCTTGGTGTAAAATATCAATATTTTATTTGATCACTAAACTATCATAAAATCCGTTCTTAGTGAGCATCTACATTGCGAAATGAGTAACAACAGTCAGTCGTATTTCGCCTATATATATATACTCTATTAACTATATGTTTATTCATAATATATTTTAAAACTATATTATGAATTAAAAATAATATACCGAATTTAATAAGGGCGGGTAGTGGGTACCTTATCAAGTCATCTGTAAAACTGAACCTCCCTCGCTTCGCGTTCGAGTGTGCAATTTATGTTTCCTTTCTTTTTTACAGGTAAATTTGACTACGATCCAGAATTGGGCACATGTTCTATAATGCCTGACGAGCATGGACGCTCTTCGAAAACTGCTCTGTTCGTCATCGCCTTCATTGTACCAGCCCTGTTGATATTCATTTGTTATGCCAGAATATTCTGGGTTGTTCACAGGTAATTATAGTTTTACGTTTTTTTAACATATTATATACCTACATAATCCTTGAATTATATTTTTTTTTGCAAAACATGTAACACACTGCTAGTTTTCGTTGCATCCAAAGTTAGTTAATTTTTTTTATGTAACTATGAAAATTCCGTTACATCCAAAGATCAATACCGGGATCAAATATTTTCTTCAAACTTATTATTTTAAAAATAGTCCTATAAACACGTTTAATTTAATTTAATTTATTCTAACAGATTTAAAGTTAAACAAAAATAAACTTAGAAAATATTTCCAATGAATTTTCCAGTTCAGAACAACGTATGCGCGAACATCAACGCTCGCAGCACACTGGCGCTGGTACACTCAACAGCACAGACAAAAGGTCTACAGTAAAAGACAATAGGGACACAAAAGCGAGGCGGAATGAGTGGCGTATAACGAAGATGGTCCTTGCGATTTTCCTTTCTTTCCTCGTGTGCTACCTACCGATCACTATCGCAAAAGTCGCCGATAGTCACGTGCATTACCCCGGTAAGATGTTCAAAATGCTTTTTATGAAATTTTATGTAGAAGCTCAGGACAACGTCAATTTAAGAAATGCTTAAAGTTGTTCTATCTCTTTCTACTAAATGACAATAGAGACTGGTATATAGAAGTAAATAATACTTAACTTATGTAAGCGATAATCAACGATTTTCTACCGACTTCAAAAAGGAGACGGTACTCAATTCGACTGTATGTTTTTTTTATGTGTGTCACTTCATAACTTTTTACTGGGTGAACCGATTTCGATAATTCTTCTTTTATTTGTAAGCTGGTGCTTTCCATGTGGTCCCATATAAATTAGATCAAGATCTGACCAATAGTGTCTGAGTTATTTTTAGTAATTTATATTGAAGTCGGTTGTAGAATTTTTTTAATTTTAAATTACTAGTTAGACTGTCAGTGTCCCGTGTAGCAGTAAGCTGCTACTTTACGCTGGTATTCTGTGAGAGCGTGGTCCTTCCCCGACGAGCCGACCCATTCGTGCTACAACTATACTACTAATATAGATGCAGCATGGCTCTACCACGTCTAAAATTATATTGCATTATAGTTTTTTTATTAGGGTATGATTGGATGTTTTTAGGATTCTCGTCTGGTTGTGATTATGTATAGCTTTTATCAGTCCGGTCTTGGTATTAAAATAGGATGAATAAGATAAAAAAATATTTTTATCGTGGTATTATGGATCAGTACGTTGAAGTAGTAAATGGGTCGGCCATATAGCTCGAACAATTAAGAACAGCTGGTTAACACAATGTTGTGTGATTCCCCACTAGATGGAGTGACAACTTTAAACTTTTAAGTTTTAACCACAAGCTAAGGAAATGGAGTTCAGAAGTGGATTTGAGATAAAATAAAAATATATTTTTAGCATGTTATTATAAAACATGTATTACAATTGATTGTCTCGTTGGTCTAGCGGTTGTAAACGCGATTGCTGATGTATATGATGCATGAGGTCCTGGGTACGAATCCCGGGTCGGTCGGAATTTCTCAGTAGCAGTCTGTAGTCAACAAGTTAGCGGTGTTTCACCTCTGTGCCACGTAAAGCCCGTTGGTCCTGCGCCTGATCTCCCTCCGGTCGTGTCAGATTACCGTCCAATCGGACTATGAGCAGGCCTCTGTCACTCTTGCTACCTGCGTGAAACGTAGTCGAAGCTAGCGCGTTCTAGGCGATTGATTGTTAAAGTTTTATAACGCTGTTTACGTAATTAGTTTTTTGTAAATATTCCGTACTTGTTGAAATACTCGTCGAAATAGTTTTTGTTTAGTGTTTAGTATATTTAATTGTAGGATAAAATAGTTGAAATTTTTTTAATTTAATTTCAGAATAATATATATGTATATTACCTATCTATTTGATAAATTATAATGGCAAAACGTCATTCCTACTATAATTGTTGCGTGCATGGATGCTTAATGAGCTAACAAAAGAATTCAGATATATCATTTTTTTTAAGTTACCGAAGTATAATGAAAGGTGAATATATTTCTTTTTTGTTAGATAGGTACTTAAAGCGAAAAAAAGATTAAGTAATAATTTAACTACAGAAGTAATATCTAATATATAGTTATAATAACACAACTACTGAAATTAAAACTTTGTTTACCATATTTCTAAGTAGAATACGATCACATTTCTGTTAGGAATCGTATTTCGGGTTTATTTGTTGTTTTCACTATCTACCTATTTCTTCTGAGCCAAAACATCGCGATTCCCGTCAAATGGCCTTGCAAGTTGCATGCGTTAGGCATCACAGAACTCACATAGTAGCGGAAATATGGTCGATCATAGTCATAATAGGTACTTTACCTAATTAACTTACCATCTCACAATGTATTTTTTTTACTCTTTATTAACAGCCCTTGCTAAACACCGAAAGTCCGCCGTGACGTAAGAAGGGGAAAAGATACAAAGTAATACGGACACTCGCGCGCAGGGATAAAGTTTAATTTAGCTTGCGTGAACGATTTATCTGATTAATAATAATGTAGGCTATTAAAACGTCGGCAAGCAGTCAACATCAAAGGAGTGCAATTTCTGTACGTAGTACTATTATTTATTTATTCTATGAGAGCGAGGGAAGAGAGAGTGCATTTGTATTTGCGCATACGCTCTTGCACCTTAATCCTGTTCTAGGCAGATGGCTAGGCTCTGTTGAGGCTGGCCGCCGTAACCGATAACTTGGTCTAGAGGACATTATATTGCGATTGATTACAGTTTAATAAAACAAAATTAAAACTCAAAATTTTTGGGTGTAATTAAAGCTTCTTTTGTCAATCGTAAACATGTTTTTTTTATTCTGTCTGTATTGCAGTGTTCCACATCGCCGGCTACCTCCTGCTGTACGCGAGCGCGTGCGTGAACCCGATCATCTACGTGATAATGAACGCGCAGTACCGCGCGGCGTACGCGGCGGCGCTGTGCTGCCCCCTGGCGCGGCTGCCGGGCCTCACCAGCGGTGCGTATCCCTCCTCGCCGCTCGCATGCGCCGCGCCCGCCCACAGGCCCGACCGCACCTCCGCGCTCGCCTCCTACATCCGGCCCTGAAGGTATCATTACTCGTCCGCCATGCGATACGCTCTCCGCTCGATAGGTGCTAATGGTTGTTGAGAGTTAGTTGTTATTTAATGTTGTTTTACCCAACTGCCCTGTATATTAATGTTTTTATTTTTCTTTTATTTGAAAACGTTACCCCTACACTAGGACTTTTCCATAGTAATCACTCACAGGCACCGCGCACGCGAACAGGTTGGACCGTACCTCCGCGCTCACACGTACGTCCAACCCTGAAGGTATCTCATTACTCGTACGCGATATGACACGCTCTCCGCTCGATACTTACGTTATTGAGAGTTAGTGGTTATTAATGTTATTTATGAAGTGGATTGTATTTGAATGTGCCTTTAAACTTAAACCATTGCATAATGATTTCTTATGTTTACGCGAACGTTGAAATAAAAGTAATTTTTACAAATTTTATTACATATATTAACTTGTTTTATATTCCCGACGTTTCGAGTACTTTACAACACCCATCACGGTCACGGCGGGACTGACTTTTCGGATTAAAATTATCTCTTGTTAAAGAGAAGTAAAAGCAGTTTTCGCGAATTAAGATCTTGAAACTAACTTCTGGACCTGGTAGAGCCACGCTGCTACTATATTATGATTGTAGCATGAATGGACAAACCTATACATTAATGAATAGCGAAAGGTTATAAAGAATGGAGGAGAGGAGAAGTACGTATCCTGTAATTTGAAAAGTATACGTTAAATTAAATAAAAAATTCAATATAATTAAAACGATTTTATTAATTTGCTGATAGTTTAGGTTTAAAGGCACTCTTAAAAGTACAATCTCAGTCAAATTTAGTTAAAGACTAATTTCCAATTACAGCGCATGGGCATCGTATTTTCTAAAACATCCTACATTACCATCATGTTTCTATGTACTTTGCTTTATTATAATATATCAAACTATTTGAATATACATATCATATCATTCCGTTGATTCATTGTCATATTTGTATATGTGTGTGACTAATCTTATATTACTTTAAAAAAATATTTCAATTGTCTTTGAATAAGACAAAATCTTAAAGCTAATAACTAGTAACGCATTCCTTTTAGAGAAATGGAACGAGCGTCACGGGTACAGCTTCAGCAACACACGAACGGCGCTCAGCCAAGTGTCGATCGGCGAGTCGAGAGCGGACCCTCGGGCGTCCGGATTACCCACGGGCCCAGGGCCAAGGTAGACCTTAGACCGATGGGATCGAGTAGCGCAGGGCCCAGCTCGCAGCACAGCGTTGGACACCGAACAGAAAATTCCATGCGTACAAACACAGGGTCACAGCTAAAAACGAAAAATACCACCAAACACAAAAACATTCCACTAAAGCAGAAAAGGGATTATTCATAGCGACTTGTCGCTCACTAGTGAGATGTACCAAAGATATAATAAAATTGCGTTTAACCAAATTATATTTGCATGCATTTATAAATTTACACCATAGTGATATTTTAAAAAAAACGTGATATAGATACACTTTGAGACCAACGTCCGTCCCATTAATGAGTGACAAGTAAGCAATATTTATACATGCGTATACAGGGTTTTTTTTCCAAACAATATACATCTAATTATAATCATGGTTGATGCATTCATATGTATACACATTTGTCATAATTTACTTACATTCCAATAGCCTTGATTGATATAATTTTCTTATGCTACCGACTTTACATTCCTTAATATAAACCGTAGTTTCGCCAAAGAATGTTACATATATGAGATATTTTAGCGGGAAATAAAGCTCAATTCGTAACCATAAAAGACCAAACAGTATTTAAGCTAGTAAATTTATTTTGAGACCTGAGCTGATTTTTTTAAATGCCATATTAAATGTATATCCAATAACGTAAGAATTTTAATGAAATGACATTTCTAATTTTAATCGTGTTAAGTTATTAAGTTATTTATTATTTTGTTTTATTATAATTGTGAACAAAAGAATGTTTTAAAAATATACGAATAAACGACGATTATTTGTTTTATTATAATTAGATTTTAAAGATTATATTATTATATTCAGTTCTTAGTATAGCGCTGATCTCATGTTTCTCTGAAGATTGGCTATGAAATCCATTTGAATTCTCCAACTCGTTTCAGCTTCCAATCTTTGTATATTTCTTAGGGCACACTATAATTGGATTCTGAATATGATACTTTAATGTTTTTCATTTCAATATCTAGATTAAAATATTTTCTATGCCTTTTTATCGTACCTGCCTGCCTGAGTAAGAATTTCCTTATTACTTAATTACATTAACATTCACGTATGTATATGATATCGATATTTCCGACCGAATTTTTTTACAAGGTAATGATTATCGTTAATTTCACCTCATAATAATCTAACTATGAGGAATAGCTGAACACGAGGTCGAAATACATATATATCATCTAAATACATTATATATACATATATATATATATATATATAACGAGTTTGAGACAATATGGCACTTTCTTCATACAATTGATGCTATCGATGGCAAACACATTATTATCCAGTGCCCATTCAATTCTGGTACAGAATACTACAATTATAAATTTCATTTCAGCGTTGTATTTTTCGCATTAGTAGACGCACAGTATACTTTATGTACGTACATATTGCGACTCAAGGAAGAATTTCGGATGGAGGTGTATTTCAAGGATGTAGTTTAAAAAGAAAGATGGATAAGAAATTTACCTCCACCCGTACCCCTACAAAATCGGAACAGGTCAATTTCCTACTACTTCTTCGGAGACTCAGCATTTCTCTTGGGCGAAAACCTAATAAAATCGTAACAGCGAACCCATTTGAAAGGGTCCAAAGAAAGAGTATTCAATTATCGGCTATCAAGAGCCCGAAGTCGAAAATGCATTTGGGATTCTTGCTAGTGTTTTTAATGTTCTAAAAAGGCGAATCCTACTGAAGTCATAAAAAGTTTAGACACCATTTTAATGACCCTAGTGCTTCTACATAATTATCTTAGTTGATAGCGAAAATACCGAGAATGTTAAAGTCATACTAGGAACTTTAAGAAATAACCCGGCAGGAACATTGTTTCGCCCGCTACAGGCTATTCCACGCCGATCTACTGCAAATTTTAAAGCAAATTGTGACGAACTTGCACATTATTTTTTGAATGAAGACAAATTACTGTGGCAAGATTACTACGCATAACAAAAAAAAATCTTCTTGGGAATATTACTATGCATAACACAAAAAACGGAGTTTCTCTGCGTGATAAACTTAGGAATGAGGATATCCGCAGTAGAACCAGAGTGACCGACATAGCCCAACGGATTAGTAAGCTGAAGTGGCAATGGGCCGGCCATATAGCTCGAAGAACCGACAACCGATGGGGAAGAAAGGTTCTCGAGTGGCAGCCTCGTACCGGTAGGCGAAGTGTAGGGCGTCCCCCCACGAGATGGAGTGACGACCTGGTAAGACATGCAGGAAGTCGATGGATGCAGGTGGCTCAGGACCGTGTTTTGTGGCATTCTTTGGGGGAGGCCTATGTTCAGCAGTGGACTTGTGAAGGGCTGTAATGATGATGATGATGATGATAACACAAAAAAATCTACTTGCTCATTCAAACCTTTAGACTCAAGTCCTCTTTGAGGTATAAAATGGTCGTCCAAGAAGCTTAGCATATAGCGTACCATTTGCTTTCATAAACTTCATTTTTTCCTGCAATGTAATGAACATAAATGTTAAAATAAATAGATGTTAAATTAATAACAAAATTAATAAATGTATGAAGGAATTAGATGTATTAAATACACAAATAATATGTACCTTTCCCCATTCCGGTTGATTTCTTTATTTTCATACGCTCCCTTTTGTACGAAGCCAATAAATTTATCATTTTTTGCTTACATGCTTCTCCGGGTCCGTTAATAAGAGTTCCGATTCTGGCACGAGATGGGACTTCATCGTGAAAGGCCAATCGAAGTCTATCATAACTTTCTTGTTGACTCATAGACTTATGATATACGTATATATCGTAAGTCTATGTTTTGACTTAAATGACATCGAAAATCATAAAAATCATTATACGAAAATTTTCTAGCGTTAAATTCATGCTGACGTGATAAACAATTTTCAATTTGCCGCTAAATCGTAAACAAATGACAGATTAATAAAATACCACAATAATATTGGCCACATCTCTATGATATTGGCAGTGTTCCATTTTAAAAATTTCTAAACTTGAACTTGTTTTTATTATATCGTTTACAAGTGGCCAGTTCTAAAAGCTTTCAGCGTCGCCCTCGTAAACTCATAAAATAATTGGTCACTCAGGCTTTCATACGTTTTATTTTATATCCATGATTAAAGTTCAACGAGAACAATATTTTTGTAAAGTTTGCACTAATAAACGAAATTGTTTTTTTTTAAACTGAAAATAAATAGTAATAGTATAAAGTCATAGTATTTGAGACCTCGACCATCGGCACAATCAACGTACCTATGTCATTTATTTGTGGTCATGATGTACACAAATTTAAACTTCGTGAAAAAAATATAAGTTTTTTTGAAGTGAAACTTCTTTAGAATCGTTGTGATTTGAAATTCGATGAAACAAAAAAAAGAGACAAACATATATATATATATCTATAGGATTTAGTTATGATACAGAATACAGTGTAGACCGCGAACTCAAAAGGTTGCGGATTCGAATTCGCAATTACACTACTATTATCGACCAGAAGTAAAATTCAAAAATAAAAATATGCACTCAAAATAAAAACTTGTATTATAAACTTCGTATTACATTTACAATCTCAATTATTAATTAGCAACTTAAGCAAATATCTAGTTCCTAGCACGTCCGCTCTCCCCGACCGTTCGAGCCAAAGTGCCGCTGCAACCGCGACCGGCTTTTATCCCACCATCTTGGTGACGCAACCGTAAGCCACGCCCTCTTTTAGTCATCATCTTGTAACACTACTGTCTTTTTTTGAAGTGTTTTTTTTAGAAAAATTTTAGAATAGAAATAGAAATAGATTTTACTGCACACATACACATTCCTAAGGGTTTATCGGTAGGCAAAAATGTTGTTGTCCATAAATCACATTCAATTTAGGACAATGTCAAAAAAATGTGGAAGCCTTATTTACTAGTATTTTCAAAAACTGCATTAACGATATATTATTATTTATATATTTGAAATTAAGTTTAAAATGTGGCTACTCTTTGCAAAATAACCCTGTATTTAATTAGTCGTGTTTAGGCCATCTAGCGTCTATTTTACGTACCACCTTAAGAGTCAATCAATTTTCGTTCTACCTTATATTTTATGCCGCACTTGTGGTTGAAAATTATTATATTAAATAAATCATTTGCCATGAATTATTATTTCCTATTTCATTTCTTTTGAAGGTCATGTTCTTTTGACTTCTACCGCGTCTGAACTGCACACATGTTGGCACCGTATTCAAGCTTAGTACGAACATATGCATTGTAAAGTACCAAAGCGACCCCTATTCCGTCGAACTGTGAAGAAGTGCGAATAATGAAGCCAAGCATTTTACTGGCCTTTTTACATACAGAAATCACATGGTTATGAAAGTCAAGCTTAGCATCTAATAATAATCCTAAGTCACGTATTTCGCTTACCCTTTCTAAGGGCGTGTCAGATAAATTATAGTCTTCATTTAGTGGACAGCGTTTACGCGTGAATGTTATTATTTTACATTTATTATCATTAAAGGGAAGACGATTTAATACGCTCCAATCCAAAACCGCACTGATGTCTCTTTGCAATGCCTCGCAGTCAGATGGGCCATCTAGACCTAGGCTTAATTTGAGATCATCTGCGAACAACAGACATTTTGAGGAAACCACGTTATTCGGTAAGTCATTAATGAAAATAAGAAAAAACAATGGCCCCAACGTACTTCCCTGACTTACCCCAGATCTTGTGTAATAGTTCTTAGACTCAAATGCACCCACTCTAACAAACTGACGCCGATCACGTAGGTAATTTGAAAAAAATTCGACAAGTTTTGGGGCAAAGCCTATTACCGCCAATTTACGTAACAAGATATCATTGTCGACCAGGTCAAACGCTTTTTTAAAGTCGAAGTACGCAGTATCTACCTGCCTACCAGCATCCAACTCTCTCAATGAACTCTCAACAAAAGTGGTAGAACAGGCTGTTCGAAAACCGTGTTGACTATCATGCAATAAATTCTGAGTTTGTTTATTAATTTGCTGGCATAAGATAATCTCAAATAATTTTGCAAAGACTGATAAGACTGCAATCGGTCTAAAAGACGAAACGTCGTTTTCACCAGCAGTTTTTGGAACCGGAGTGATCCTAGAAACTTTCCAAATATCTGGATACTTAGAGTGAGTCAGTGATAAGTTAAAAAGGTACAGGAGCGGACTCTCAAAAGCGGATATGCAGTCCTTTGCTAAAAAAAAAACAGGGATACCGTTAGGGCCACCCAACGATCTCGGTTTTAGTCGCCTTACTGCTTCTTTCAGCTTGGTAGTGTCAACAATATTTACGGTGATAGAAGTGGAATCACATTGACTATCTGCGGCACGTACGGCATCAACATAGTTCAGTACAGGTACCTCGTCCTGATACACTGAACTAAAATAGTTTGCAAAAGCGTCGGCTGCGGATTGTCCAACAACTTCAACACCACCGGACGAATAAACGTTCGTACGCTGCTAGTGATTCTTCCTATCCTTAACGTACTCCCAGAATTTGACTGGATCGTTAATTATATTTTGGTTCTGTCAGATGTAAGTGCTGCTTATATGCATTGTCAATCAAGTTTTTAACATGCCACCTATAGTATTTGAATAATTCCTTGTTAAACTCTTTACCTTCAGCCTTATACCGTTTCAAATGATAATATTTTTTACGTATATTATTTTTAATATCAGCATTAAACCATTTTGGATATACGTACTTATAATTCGACTTATAACGGGATTTAGTAGGAACATATTGACTGATACAATTATAA